ATAAAATCTGTATAAATAATGATGGAGGTTTATATACTAAAGATTTTCATCTATGGAGTTTAGCATATTGAGTTGTTGTTGAAGTGGAACAATTAATTGGTCCAGAAAATCATGTGCTATTCTTTTTCCTTGGCGAAGTTTTTGTCCCAAAGGGTTTTCGTGGCCAAAGGTTTTAAGGATTTTGTGGTTTTTAAAAAATGAGAAAGATTCATAACATCTGGAAGACTATTATCCTCTAGAAGAGTGATTCTAATATTTGTTCGGAAAATAGTACCCTGAAGGTCTTAATTGGTTCTTGTGAGATCGAACAATTTATTGGTCAGGAAGACCATATGCAACTGCACTCTTTTTCCTTAACCAAGTTTTGTCCCCATTGAGTTTTCTTGGTCAAAGGTTTTAACAGGTTTTAACAAGGCAGTTTGTGATTTTCAAATAACATATTATGCCCCGAAGAGTGAATTCAAATATAATCCAGAAGATTAGGCCCTGGAGGCCAATGACTGTACTCTCTTTACTAAGTTTTTCCCACATGGTTTTCTTAGTTAAAGGTTTTTAATGAGGCAGTCAATACAACACATTGTTTTACATATATTATGTACTTTTTTCCTTGATTGGTTTTTTCCATAGGGTTTTCCCAACAAGGTTTTTAATGAGACATACACATAGTTCAATTTTTGCTACAAGGAGTTGGTCACCAGATTATATTGGATTCTACAAGAAGTTTTGAAGTGATGCAGTCAACAGGGGGAGTATATATGCGTTGCACTCTTTTTCCCTTGACCAAGGTTTTGTCCCACTGGATTTTTTTCGACAAGGTATTTAACGAGGCAGCATTATCATAGCGTATAGACAATAATGTATTACATCATATTTTTCATGTAATGTTTTTATTTAGCAATGTACATCCAAGGGGGGATGCTATGTAATACTACGTATTATGGATGTCCATTAGTTCATAGCCCGAGCCCATACGTATTGACCCATCTGATGATTGTAACCCTAGCTCCCCTCCTATATATACATCCTCATATATGAATGAAAGTATGCTTTGATTTGGTTCATTACAAAAAAAAGTAAACCCTGAGGGTGGGTGCTTACTTAGTAACACAATACGAATTTAAAAATGTATACTCAGCACATTTATCCCAAAAAAAATTGTTCACTTCACTCGTGTTAATAAATTAATGGTGAAATTAAAATGACATAAACATGTCCTAAATGTTTTGAGCGTTTAAGGCCCAATTATACTCTTTTCAACTCTGATCATTGTCACCTTAAAATACTACTCTCTAACTACTATTTCTGTTCTATTAAAATTTAGGGAAAATGGAAACTAATAATCCAACCTTTTAGCGGTCTTCTTACAATAGTCCCACCTTTTGATTATTCATGAATAATCCAACCTTTGCACCTCATCTTCATCCACTGGTCCCTGACCGGTTGATGACCTACTATTCCAAGTTATTTTCTTATCTTTGCAAACCATCATACCATAAATCTCACCTTTCACAAAGATAATATTTTGCAAAAATAAGAAAATAACTTGGAATAGTAGGTCATCAACCGGTCGGGGACCAGTGAATGAAGATGAGGTGCAAAGGTTGGATTATTCATGAATAATCAAAAGGTGGGACTATTATAAGAAGACCGCTAAAAGGTTGGATTATTAGTTTCCATTTTCCCTAAAATTTATATACGTGAAAAGGTGATGCAATAACAAAAATGAGTTTATGTGATTAGTATTAATAAATTGATAAAGTAGGAATAATAATCTTATTCCTTATTGTAAGCCAGGCAATACATATAGGTTTGGTGTGTGTTTAAAAAAAAAGTTAAATAGATTTTTTTAAAATTTTAAGCTCTAAAAGCAAGACAAAATAAGAAATGTCCACAAATAGTAAAAATGTGAAATGATAGATAAACAGATACGACGAGAGAGTAAAAAGTTAAAAATGTTCAATATAGCAAAGTGTCCATATTTTATGAACAAGTGAACAACCCAAAAAGGAAATTATATCTTTTTCTTATGATAAGAAAATTAATTAAGTTAGGATAATTATAAAAAAGGAATTTAGGTTAGACTAGACTGGATATGATAATATAGGAAAGTGTTCATATTAGCTGGTGGACTAAATATGATAAATGAGAAAATTACATTGAAAAATTGAAGAAAAAAATACCGTGAACATCGATTAATCCAACTATGGGTGTAAATGGGTCAAGCCTTTGGCAAGCTGTTCGTGGATCGCTCATGACAAACTTGAATCAAGTTTGGTCATAGTCAAGCTTGACTCGAGTTCGGTTTGGCTCGAAATTTTAACAAGCTCATTATAAATATATTTGGAATATATGTTCTAATTTAGGACTATTCCATATTCAATACTCCGTACTTGTTATGGTGTACATTATAATAGTCAAAATTATAAATATAATAATGTTTATTATTACTATTATTATAACCATAATATATAATTATATTCTATATTATTAATTGATAGTAGAATAAGGAATACAAATATCAGTGGAGGAGAGAAGAACTACAAATGAAAAAGTTTAATTACAAACATTATACTCCGTATTATTATTATTATTATTATTATTATTATTATTATTATTGGTATGAATAAATATAATATAAATAATTTGGAAAATTGAAATCTTATTTTTACTTCGAATTCGAGTTTGAGTTCGAGCATCCTATTCAAACTCAAACCTATAAAAATTAAATACCAAAACTTAATGACCCGAACTCGAGCTGGCTTCGAGTTGAGTTCGGGTCAACACGAGTTCGAATACGAATAATTTAACTCGTCTAAGTTTGATTTTGAACTCAAGCTCACGAGTCCTTGTTAAACTCAAACTCAAGCGTACTCATGTTTGAGCTCAGCTCAACTCCAAAGTCCCAAAGGAGGGAGCTGAGCTAGGGACAGGTTTTCCAACTACTCGTTGACGTTGACGGCCGTTGAGGACTAGATCAGGTTTTCGACTCATCCAACCTTGGACATTTACTTCACTGGTAAAAATAATATTAAAACATTTGGATTAGATCGATAATGTTCCATTTGACTACCCAAGCGAAAGGGGGCCTGAAGTTGCACACTTTTATGCCGGAAACATGTACACCAGCCGAGATAATGTTTCCCAAAAAGAATTGTTCGCTTATTTGTTGGAATTAATTAATACAAGTATATGTTGGTTCCTTTGAGATATAGATGGATAAGAGGTGTTCACAAACATTTAGCCTTTGCACATGAATGGCAGGCAAGGGGAAGTTGATCCTTTCCTATCTTTAATTTGTCTCTCCCAAACCGAAATTCTTGTTTCACTTTTATTCATTTGTACCCTCTAGCTTCACGGCCAAATTAGCATCAAATATACCTGTATCATTTGATACTAGCTTAGCTTCGTCCCATCTTAAGCTTTATTAATAAAATGTTACAGTTATTTTATCAAATATATATACTCATTTTTTTGTTAATTTTGATATAGTATGGGGTAGTAGAAAATACTTTGATTATCTCCCAATTTTTTAGTGAATAAAAAATTCTTATTAGCTTGTGGCACCCGCCCTATTTTAGAGGCATAAATGCTTAATTATTTCATCAAAAAATACATTACATGGAATAACATATGATTAAAACAATTATAGTTACTCATAGTGACTAAGTAATATTTTTGTCCATGACATTTTAAAGAGTAATATTAACGGATTTTTTCTAAAAAATTTAGGATAAACAACGTATCAATAATTTGGCCCCCTTCATCATATCACGTCCTAGCTCCGCCCCTATTAATACGTCTGCATATTTAGTATATTTTTAATTGTAATGTAATTTTTTGAACTCATCTGATTTGATCTTATTTGTTAAATGGTTGGTTTGATCTCCTTGTGTTTTATATTTGTCAAAAACTAATTTGATTTAATTTGTTAGAGAAATTTATCTCTCATATATGACTAAAAGATCATGTCTTTCCCAATCTATGTCCTAGACATTTTTTAGTATTTTACTAATTTGATGGGAAAATGAAATGCTAGTCACGTTGCACATATATTAAATGGGAAGATCCTCTTTCTTATTCTCAGTTATGCTACCCACTGACTTTTAGTCATATTCACGTTGCATAATTGGTTACTTTATATATATACACTAGAAAGATATTAGAGTTGCGATCAGGAGTGGCCCTAGGGGCAGGGGACAGGCGGTGGGGGGCCTTGGCCCATAAAAATTGAAGAAAATTTAGACTCAGATTTAGTTATTTATAATATGTGTGAGTAGGTTGATTTTTCAACTTTAAACTAATAATTTTTTACCACTATGGCTTCCTCCTTATTCATAAGCATTTTGCTATTACAGTTTTGCACCTTCACTACTTCCGCCGGCCCCACAACTCACCTCCACACTAACCAGCGGATCCTCCACCGGCCTTTCTATTCAATGGATATTGTGATGACTCTAGCACTGCTGCCCGCCCCCATCTCTTTTAGTAGTATCTGGCAGCCTCCCTCTGCTTCTATAAGTTTTGGTCGTTTTCCATTTGGTCGATGGATTCCTGATCCTACAGATTCAAATTCTATCAGAAGTTAAATGGCTGGTTAGCTTCGACTCTTCCGGCCTGTTTGGATTGAGTGTTACGGCCTGTTTGGATTGAGTGTTGAGGAGTGTTAGTAATGGAAGTGTTAGTAAGTGTTGATGCTAACACTTGTTTGGAAGAAAAATCCAGAGGTGTTAAGAAGTGTTAGTAATGGTTAGGAAGTGTTAATAATAACCTTCCCAACACCTCAATAGTAAAGTAAGTGTTGAGAAGGGTTGAAATTAACACTTGTTTGGAAGAGAATTTTTTTAAAAGGGAAGTGTGAGTAATGGTTAGAAAGTGTTAATCATTACCTCCTCAACACCTCAATTGTCCACTTTTTTAACACTCCAATTTGGAGTGTTTTGAAGTGTTGACAATTATTACTCTTCTCCATTACATATCCGCCCACTTCAAATGATCGACTCTGCTGATCTGCTCGAAGGTTCTCAGGCCTGCTATAGAACAATATCATGTCAACTCTTTCCTCATCCAATTGTTCCAGGTTCTCTCATATCCGTTCTGCTATATACGTTCCCAATGGTCATCATATCTGAGAACGTATTTTCATACATCATATAAAAACTCATATCTCATCATGTATATTCATTTCTTCCGTCTTATACATCATATAAAAACTCATAACTGTATCAGTTGCCTGCTTCTGGGAACAAAGGGAAAACAACGTGCAATATATAGATATATGTACATATATAGAGATAGAGAAAACTTCATGTCAGGCCGGCCTGACGGGCTGCCCCGTCCGGCCGAGCCCGTTTGGGCACCTTCCCGGTGTAATTTTTTGATGAAATTTTTTGAGCATGTTCCTCATCCAGTCTAGTTTGTCCATACCAAATTTCAGCTCAAAATTCGATCGGGAAGGTCGTCAAATGATTTTTGCAAGTTAACTGGTCCGGAATATGTATTTTCCGGACCAGTTAACGTGCAAAAATCATTTGACGACCTTCCCGATCGAATTTTGAGCTGAAATTTGGTATGGACAAACTAGACTTGATGAGGAACATGCTCAAAAAATTTCATCAAAAAATTCCACCGGGAAGGTGCCCAAACGGGCTCGGCCGGACGGGGCAGCCCGTCAGGCCGGCCTGATGAGAACAGCCCTCTATAGAGATATATACGAAGTATATAATTTGCTTTTGGAAAAAAAATAGCCACGTAATTGGAATTAAAGTTTCGTTAATCAATTAGCTTTAGGTAGATTATATATATACACGTACATTGAAATTAACTTTACATAGGATTCTTAAGTTGCCGAAATTAGTTGTCAAATTAACTTAATCCTATCGGGCTTGGTATAAACTAACAATTTAAAATGTGTAAGGATATTTTTGTAAATTGAAGTGAAAACATTTCCTTTACTAACACTCCATTTTTTAGCTCTTCCAAACGAGGTTAATTTATATTTAACACTTACACTTACCATCTCTTCCGGGCTCCTGCCAACACTTATTAACACTTCCATTACTAACACCCTTCAACACTCCATCCAAATAGGCCCTTCGAGTCCTAGACATCCTAAGACGGCACATGTTTAATTTGGGAATGATTGGTTCTATCCAAGTTATTATCGATCTGAATGAATAGTATTGGATGTTTGAGCTCAAGTGCTCACTTTAAAGGACTTATTAGAGCATCACTATGGTTAGTGTAGTATTAGGAATATTATTGTGGTTTTTGAGTGTTGGAAAAATGTGTTAAAAATTGCATTAAGTGGTAATTTTGGGGCAATATTTTGAGTGAGCTCCACTTCCAATTTGGGTCGGGTCAAAGTGGTTTCGGATTGTTCTTGATAAGCGCTACAATTCGATATGTGGTACGCTCAAAACGGATAACGGGTGAATGAGAAATTGATTCTCAAAGTTCACTCGTTGAAATGAAAAATCTGGGAAAAAGGATGAGTTTCTAGTGTGATTCATACCACACCGGAAAACCTAGGGGATTTTGAACACCTTATAAAGGGAAGCCTCTTTTAAGGAGTTAAGATTCCTATGGAAATAATCTCTTTGCGCGCAGGGGGTGCGAATCAAATCCCGAAAACGGAGAAGAAAAATCGCGACTTGCGCGGGCGACATGCGGACACGAATGTCATCCAAAAATCCATCTTTACCAAGAACCAGGAAGTGTTCGGACAGAACGGCTTCGGCTTCTTCTCGTCTCCGCAACAGAACTGCTCGGAACCAGAAGACCTGGTGTGGGTGTTCTGGTCGCTCCGGGGCCAGAAGACCATCGGGTGTTCTGGTCGCGCACCAGAATGGATCTGGTCCATTACAACAGTTAATGCCCAACGTTCTAGTCATTTATGTCCAACGTTCAGGTTCATTAAAGGTCAGTTAACACTCAACAAATATGTCCCTATATATAGCTGGCAGGTGTTTTGCAACAACAGACATTCACACATAGTCTACACGTAGTTTTTGAGCTAAACACACCTCCAGTATTCCGATAAAAATCCCAAGTGTTCATACTTTGTTCTTGTTCGCCAGAACTTTCATTTGTGTGCTCAAACGATTGTTCGTTAGCCACCGCATCCTGGGAAACGGTCGTTGCAACGCTCCTAGCACCGTGGGAGGCGCTGAATACGTTTTAAGGGCATCATGCGTAGCACGAGTTTTGGCTAATTATATAAATTCCGCTCCATCTCTTTCTGTTTTTCTTTTAGTCATTTTAATTAATTTTATTAATTAATTTTTCATTATTTTCCAAAACACACCCAACATTGAGCCTGTTTGGTGACCATGTTTTTCGTTCTATCAGCTTTATCGGCAAACATTTTTATCAAACACGTAACTTTTGGTTTCACGCGCTGAGTTGCATAATGATCATAATAAGTAAGGTTAGAATTATTTTTTTGTCTTGATTGTCTCATGTTACTGTAGAAAACTATTTTAACTACTTTCATATAACTTTTTCTCTATTTTACTTATAAAATATGTATGAAATATAATTTGTTTTCATAATTCAGCAAAATCACTCAATTCAATCAGAATCTTATAAATTTTCCGAGAGTCAACATATTGAGGGAGTTTGTTTCGCTAAGAATAAGATATGTGATATTGCTAAAAGCTCACAAAAGCAGTCTATTATGCCCTTGATCAGTGATGGCTTCCGAAACTTACAGGTTTACAGGGCCGGTCCTGGGGCATGGGCAGGAGGGGCATGCGCCCAGGGCCCTTTGCTCCAGTAGGGCCCATAAATTTCTCAAATATGTGTGTGTGTGTTTGTGTACATCACTATTTTAATTATATGTACATCCTAAATCTATAAAAGGTAAAATATAAAATCAAACTTATATTTCTTAGATACTTCTAATTAGTTATTCAGCATCTACACGATACAAGTCTATAATTTTGAAACATATTATACGGATTATTGCATTAATTTTATTCTTTTAGTGTACATGTCTTATGTATATCCAGAACTTATTGATATATTTCACAAATTTCTTCCGATCCTCTCATTTAGAAACGTAGAATTTGTTTTTGTCTAGTGAAAATGTGATCTACAATATGAAAAAGTTACTCCTAATTATACAAGATATAATTTCACAGCTTTCCTTAATTTAAAATTTTTATTGCACCTAATAGTTGCACTACTTGTTTCACTCGGCTTTTAGGTAAAATAACATTATAAGCATCCCCCGCTATCCTTGAGGCCCAGTCTATTTGTATTGTCCCAGGCCCATAAAATGTCAGAACCGGGCCTGCAGGTTTAGAGCTTCTCTAATGGACATGTGGATTGTACCCCTTTAAAAATGGACATGTCACTTATATAGAAAACTCATGGAGCAGAGTCACGTTGTTGGGAGGCTTGCTGAAAGTAGAAGGTCAGGTCGAGGGTGTGAGTTTTTTTCGAATCCAACTCAGCAACGGAGGGTAAACGCACATTCCCACTGAAGTATGTAAATTTACCATAAAATCTATTTATCTGATGTGGCAATGCATTTTTTAACAATCCATTCTCCCAGTAAAGATGCTCTAAAGATGCTCTTATAATGCTTTAAGCCTCTAGCTGCTGATTGCGACTTAATACTTTAATTGTGATGAATAAAGTAATAAACTATACCGAGGTGGAATAATAATGTAAACTCTTTTATATACTCCATACTTTTTATTCATTTTTTCTTACTCCGTATTTTTTTTTTGCAAACTTTTATAATGGTAACTATAGAGGAATGGAATAATTACTTTATGCCATGTCTTATCGCTTTGAAGCAAAATCGTCCGTGGACTTGTGGTGTACCCGTGCACCCTAGTAAGTATTTAATAGGTTCGCACAAAAAATCTCAAACCAAAATAGGAAAAGTGAATGTTTTTAATGTAATTTTCTGATGAAATAATTACATATATATGATTATATAAAGTTTGTTTACAAAAATATGATTAACTTGTGACTATAGTAGTAACTAAATCATACTCAATAGAAATTTATGTTTAATTTTTAAATTTAAGTGAGCATGACATTATATTATACATAATAACTATTAGTCATGTTTGTGTAAATAAGTATTACTCCGTATTTTAGTAATATATTTGAGTTACCTCTTTTCTAATCTGTTTAACTCTGATATGATGTTTAAGTCTGGTCTAGTTTTATGTAGACTATGATCGTTCGGAATCATTCTATCATTTTTATGTAACTTGATATCGAATTAGAAGATGTTCACACTTAAGATCTATTTTCGTATATAATTCTTTTGGCATGAGTCTATGTGTAGCAAAATTACAAAAATGTTAAAACGTCAATATGTTGTCCCCTAGAAACAATTTCAATCAATACAAATTAATTGGTATCCCTATAGAGCTTGAGACCGTTGAGTTTATCTTCATTATTGTATGTGAAGGGGGAAGGTGAAAGCAAGGCTCCATGGAAAGGACTCTTCCACATGAGGGATCAGGAACTGTATCATTCTCTGGCTTATACATGACCCAAGATTCTAGTCCTCCAAAACCCTGAGCGACATATCCAAAAGTTGACAATGCACTTGTGACTAATGTGTCACTCATAGCAAGAAGATAAATTTCTGCCAATGCCCTTGTGTAGTGTAATAAATCCTCCATTTTTTGAAACACTTCATAACTTGGTTGATGAACCTGAATCACCTCCCCGGTCTCTGTTGGATTCATTGAGTACATTAAACGGATTGCGTCAGAGTACCCTGGATTCAATGATGTCACGAGAACAACTTTCGTCGTGTTCTTTATCTCCCGATAACTGGTGACTGTTGACCGATGACCATTTTTAATAACAGGTGGTAGTATATTCCACATTGAGGTACAAGTAATTATCTGATCAAATACATGTTGTAGAGGCCAGGATGGTCCATCAAACACTCTAATCTGAACGCCAATCTTATCATCAGCTTGTGCTAAGTAGGCTTGGTAGTATCTAGTAATGAGACCCCACACTAGTTCTGTGGGATGAAATAGGTACCTGTTCAGAGGTATTATATATATTAAAAAACAATTGTATTTTCTTGTCTAAACCAATTACTGTATGTCCGATATAAACTTATATATCGTACTAAAAAGTCTTAAACTTAAAGAGTGCTGCATTTATTTATATTCTCCAAAAGGTTGAATCTCCCAACCCCAATGGCCTCCCACGCCCCAACTCAACAGAGTTTGTGGGATGATGTAAATCACGGTGATTCAACCGATCCTAACGGTGTAGACCTTATACCCGTGTGCACCAGAGGCTCAACCCTTCACATGACTTCGGGTTTCGACCCTTGATTATTCTCCAACTTTCCTACCGCTGCATTTATTTACATGTTTCTAAGCTATGCGTATTCTAGAATTACCCAAGAAGTTTCATGTAAACTGTAGAATGTTTATATGTTTTTTATACCAGAGAAGTTTCATGTACATTGTAAAATGTTCTAGATTTCTGCGATCTAATCAAAGTTTGGAGATCAGAGTTCCTCCCAAACCTGGTAGGGAGACTAGTTTCAAAATAATCTAAGCCAAAAATGCTTGAGCTAGTGTAAGCTAAAACTTTTGCAGAGGAGAGCGCTTTGCTTTAAGTCATATTTTGGAGAGTTCCTCACTAAAACACAAATTTTTACCTGACTAAAATCACACACCATTCAAAACACTTATTAAGATTCTATTTTCTGTCAACTCCTATGTATTTATATTGTTCAAAAGAAAATAACAAAAAACACTTCTATTATACCGTCCGAGGAGGTGGAAAATGGAGTCTTTGTCGGGGAACATGTTCTCGAGTTCTTCCTTGAATGATTTCATCATGAAAAGAGACGGGATGAAATACTCGTCTGACATCACAATTATCCATGGTACTTTGTTCAAGAATGTTTGTTGTTCAGTGTCACGGAAGAATGATTCATCATATTGATCCATGTCGTATATCAAATTTAGATAAATGAAGGGAGGAATTCGAGAAGACTGTCCTGTCAAATTGTACTTGACCATATACCCATGGCAATAAGGAGAGGTCTGATTAAATTCTCCCAAGTAATGAGCAATGGGGAAATCCCGTGGTAAAATCCAAGACGTTTTAGGGAACGGTTCACAGAATAGATCAGATGTGAAATCCCGAAAATCCAAAAGAAGGATTCGGTTTGTGAGAATGGCGTATATGAACGATGAAGCTAAAGTGAGAATCCGATTGCCCATCCCACTAAAAGGTGTCCAAATGACATACTTGCAGTGTGTGGGAGATAACTCTCCCCCCAACTGGATGAGTTGCACGGTTTTATTATATTGTTCTGTGTAAGGTCCACATTGCTTGTGAAGAACTTCATAGCTTCTCAGCTTGGATATTAAATATGGAGAAGGTTGGCGCTTAAGTCCTTTTAAGTAATGAACTGATTGGTACCTACTTGGACATGATCTTTCATCAAATCTGGAATGTAGAAGTCCACCAAGTAGCTCATCATCAAGTTCTCTTTCTGATTTTATAAAGGCAGATAAGGGTCGTCATCCATATCGAATAAATATGAAGATACAAAGTTACAAACTAGTATATAAAGTATTTGAGCAATCATACAAACATGTTTTTTTTTACCTTTCTCGGGTTTCGAATGACTGCTTCTTGCGTTTGAAACCGCCGAGAAGCCATCAAAAAGTTGCTGCTCTTTGAGGAGTGTGAAGACAGAAAGCAGAACTGTAATGTTGACCAATAGAGCAACCAGAATAGGCCATGAAATCAGACCATATTTGGACTCCACAACCTTATGGGAGATCTTGATTTGGTGAAGACCAGAAGAAGAGTTGGGATGGTGACCAGACCAGGTTTTGTATGGTCTCATGGTCTCTTTCAGCTGACTATTTTTTTTCAAAGATATCATCTATGCATAATACATTATGCAGTAATAATTGTTATGCGCTTTGCAAAATATTTGCTCCATTGAATTTACTTCCTTTATAGTAGTTTGCGTTTATTTTATATCCTAATAAGGCTTGGCCAGTTTTATTTCATAGATCAATTCTACTCTATACGATTTCAATATAATTTATTACTCTAAGATATCAAAATCGACATAATCATGATTTTATACGGAGTACTATACTAATGTATCACATGCCTGAGAGGAACATAGAAACATGGCATCTGATGATCAACGGTTACGCAATGAAAGGGTTGGGCGATGACGGGCTGTCGTTGTATGAACAGATGAGGACAAATGGGATCCGGCCCAATGACCAAACTTTCCTTGCTATTTTTTAGGCCTGTGCCAGTGCTGATGCAATCGACGAGGCTTTCATACATTTTGACACCATGAAGGCTGAATACGAAATCTCACCCACAACTGAACACTATTTGGGTCAGTTGGGCGTGCTTAAAAAATGCGGACATCTTGCTGAGGCTGAGGAATTCATCAAGCAACTCCTGTTTGAGCCTGCATCTGATGTTTGGGAAGCATTGATGAATTTTGCTCGGATACACGGAGACATTGACCTTGAAGACCGTGCTGAACAGTTGTGGAAGGATGCTGGGGGTAATCCCCTTGAGGGGGGTAAGATTGTCCCACCACCTCCAAAGAAGCAGTCGGTCAATATGCTTGAGGGTAAAAGCAAGGTGCTTGAGTTTCGTAGCCCCACACTATACAAGGATGAAGAGAAAATGAGGGCAGCAATGAAAGAGCAGGCATATGTTCCAGACACCAGGTATGTTCTGCATGATATTGATCAAGAGGCAAAGGAGCAAGCGTTGCTTTATCACAGTGAGCGCTTGGCAATTGCCTACGGTCTGATAAGCACCCCGGCCAGGATGCCTTTGCGTATCATCAAGAATTTGCGTGTCTGCGGGGATTGTCATAATGCCATCAAGATCATGTCAAGGATTGTTGGGAGAGAGTTGATTGTTAGGGACAACAAACGTTTCCATCACTTCAAGGATGGAAAATGCTCCTGTGGCGACTATTGGTAAGTTGTTATTATCAAAACAAGCAAGAGAAATGGGGTGATTTGGCCTTTTAACTATTTCAAAGAAACATCTTGAAGACAGAGATCTCTTTGCAAGGGTGACATTCTTTCTTGTGTTTAAAGGCTGCAGCATATGATACCAATGACCATGTCAAGTGATTGTTCAGGGTGAGATATTGTTAACATTATTTTAGAGTACATGGGGGGTGCATGTGTCTTATATATTGCACAGTATTCTCTTTAGTTATCTTGCTGTCGACCTTTAGTTAGTAACAATTTTCACCTGATGGTTGTTTAAAAAAGCCCAATCCCCCTTTTCATTGAAATGCCTTTGGTTCTGGGGTGAATTGCAGTTCGTTATCTCCTCTCTTCTACCTTTGACTAAAGATATAATGAATATTGCTCTCTTGACGCGGGAGAATGGATTAGCAGCTAATGTTCTGCCTAGGCCTGGACTCAGGCTGGGTCGGGCCCGACGGGCCTTTTGGTTTTAAAGGGTAGGCCCGGGACCGGCCCGGGTATCCACCGGGTCCAGTCCGGGTCCGCGTCCGAGTCAGGCCTAAATTAATTTTTTTTTTTTGCTTTCCTAACTACCCCTGACCCCCCCACCCACCCACCCACCCAAACCCTTCCAAACCACTCAGCCCTGCCCGGGGGAAACCCAAAAAAATGAAAAAAAATAGAATTGGGCCCGAACCGAGCCTGGCTGGGCCGGGTCCCCATTTGTGCAGTCCAACCAGCCCTCGTATCACCCTTGGGCCGAGTCGAAGCCCGCTACCCGGACAGCCAGACCGGGCCAGTCCCGGGCCCGCACAGTAGTGGGCCGGGCCGGTTCACGGGCCGGGTGGCCCGACCCGAGTCCAGGCCTAGTTCTGCCTGCCGAGAAAATTACATGGCTTGTGAAGTGGTGCATGTGGCAAATTTTGCTACCATTTTTCAAAAGATCCTTTTCAACGTTATGGTACTCAACACTATAAAACCCTTATCCACTGTGGTTTACTCCATGTTTATGAGGAGAATTTTTAACTTGGTGAGTGATAGATTACATTTCCATTTTTTATTTGTTTAAAGAATGGTGGAAAGTTTTCCATTTAAGCAACACATCCTACGCCCCAAAGATATGCACTTCCACATCCAAACGAGGGACATTTGGATTTTGATCCTCTTTGAGTCTTGGAATTAAGATCATTTTGTCTGAAGAAGAGTGATAAAAACGACATTCTTAATGAACACTGTGGGGTTGATGATTAGAGCATCTTTAACAAGAGCATCAATTGCTCTAAATGCACTGCCACGTCCAAACAACATCCAAGCCTTAGTCCCAAACGATATTGGGTCGGCTAACATGAATCGATACATGATATCACCAAAAGGAAAAGAAAGAAAATAAAGATAAAAAAGATAAGCTATTATAAAAAATATATATATAAAAGAGATGAATATACATATAAAAGATAAAATAAAAAGGATAAAGTAATGTTTATATATAAGGATAAAAAATATAAAAGAAAAAGAAACAGAAGAAGAAAAAAAAGAGGGGAAAAGATGATACAAGATCACTCCTCCACACGAATACCCGCCCTCCATTTTGCTCTCTCCAAAGCCATACTCTCATCCAATCCAAGAAGAAGCATATCACTTCTGACTCCCCTAACCCACGTCTGTTTGGGCCTTCCTCTCCCTCTCTTCCCTGCCTCTTCTCCACACATCTCCACTCGTCTGACAGGTGCATCAATCGGTCTTCTATGCACATGACCAAACCATCGTAGGCGCGACTCCCGCATCTTATCTTCAATAGGTGCTACTCCCACCCTTTGTCTGATTGTCTCATTCCTCACGCGGTCCTTTGTAGTATGCCCACACATCCAACGCAGCATGCGCATCTCTGCCACACTCATCTTTTGAATGTGACATTGTTTCACCGCCCAACACTCCGTGCCATACAGTAGTGCAGGCCTAATTGCTGTCCTATAAAATTTACCCTTCGGAAAAAAAATATCTCCAACATCAATATGGATGATGGTTGTGGTGATGACCTGGAATGAAAAAAAGGGACGATGTCTATCCCACCTTCTAGTTTCAGAAAGCCCATCCCATTGCCAACTCAGCAAAAACTAAATTCTACCAAAAAAATTTCCCGTATAGGAATCATATACGTCGTACAAAATTAGGAATAATCAAAAGCAACACTCTTTCCCTTCCGTCAAACACTTCGCCGGTCTAATTTTCTGTCAAACACACCGCCGATCGTCAGATCCCATCTTCATCCTCTCTACCGGCAAGGCGGCAACGGCCTTATCAAATTTTTCTTTAGTTATGGCGTCTCCTTCCACCATGGATTTCAGTTTCCACGCGCACAGTCCTTTTCTCAGGACCAAATATCTCCCATCTTTACAGATGGAAAATAACTTTGAGAACTCAACCTTCGTAGTGCATATAGAGATGATCGGCGGGGGGGGGGGGGGGAGGAGGCTACAGCTAATCGGCAGGTTGTGCCCAGCGGCGGACATAGGGGGTGACAAAGGGGGGCTGCTGCCCCTCCCAAAAAAAAAATTGGTATATTTACCCCGAAATTTTTAATGTATATGTATTTGTATGTATATTTTTGTATTGCCGCCCCGGCTATCGGAAATTCCTGCGTCCGCCGTTGGTTGTGCCTATGTTGCACGGACACAGATACACTCATACGCGGCATACGCTGATACGCGGATACGCGGATATGCGGCTACAGGTACAGCGATACAACAATTAACAAAGGATACACATCGAGATATCGGTATCGTATACGATATCGGTATCGTATATCGGAGTGAAGTATCGATGCAAGACGGGGTTGCGCTATTCTTTCCCAATCCTGGTGTGTAGTGCGTATGTATATAAATACTACTCTTGTATTTTACTTCCTATGTACTCCGTATACGAAAACAAAGTTAAAATTCTTCGTTGATTTATTTATATTAATATTATATTTTATTTATATTAATATTATATTTGAAGAAATGACTTGTACATATATCTTGTTTGGTAAGAAATATAAACTATCAAAATGAGGTAAAAGGCCCAAATTATACATGATAGTTTTATTTATTTTCATAATTTAACTTTATTGTTTTTTGAATACAAATATTCAAATAGTATTCAAACAATATTCGAATATACAAACGAATCGAATACAAATATAAAATAATATTCGAACATTAAACAAATACAAATACCAATATTCGATAATTATACGAATATGAATAATATTGTTAAGTATTCGGTTTGATACGATTCGTTTACAACCCTTACTTAAATTTAAGCTGACGTTTGTATTTACAAACACCCTTTTTAGCCATTTTTCCAGAAGCTGAGAAGTGCTTCATGAAGCAATTTCAAACATAATAATTTAAATAAGTTGCTTCAAAAGTCAGAACCTTGGGTGGAGGAAGTGATGTGCTTTTCATTAATTATCAATTTACCATCTCACCTGTTAAGTGCTGAGATGGTAAATATCAATTTACCATCTCACCCGTTAAGTGCTGAGATGGTAAATTGTTCCTTTAAAATGTAAAATACTGAATTCACATTCCTTCAACAATTGCTTCTGCAGCCGAGTTCCTATGAAATGATTAATACTAATAAAGAATCAAGAAAATAACTAAAGCAGTCAGTGGGTTGTGTAGCTCCGGACTCCAGGGCAACAAGAACTTCAAGAGAGTGTCACATGCAATTCCTCTCCAACTATAGAAAATATTTCATCAATCCTGAAAGAAATAAGACAATGCAGAAACAATTAGGTCAATGCTAAGGCCCACATTTTAAAGATATCAACATTGAAGAAACACGAAATTCCTGGAAGCCATGGTTTGCACTAAAGACGAGTTGTGAGTTCCTACATTGAACAAACTCTTGAAGCTTGAAATGTTATATGCTAACCACATCATATGAAAAGCTACACGTTCTATGAACCGCAAAATGACTTCAAATACAAAAATAACCATGAATGTTGACCACACTAAATGACAACAAGAAGAGAAAGAGGAAGTGCTTTATTTACCTAAATCTGTCGAGTTTCACTTCTGCAAGCCACGTTGTTAGATATACCTGCAGTAAAAAAAAACAAAATTGTATTACCTAGCAATAGCTTCTCCAGAGTATCAGAAGTAAATACATAAACACCATTCAGCACGTAATAAGAACCCCCACCTTCAGGTATCCATACAGACCACTTGTTTACTTTATATCACATTGTACGTAGTGCTTGATAAGCCGCAATGGAAACGTGATGTAATTAAATGCACATGTCATGTGATTTTAGACAAAAATATTTAATTACATTACATCTTATTACTTCCTCCGTCCCACTAAGATTGTCTCATTTTACCATTTCGGTCCGTCCCACTAAGATTCTCCCATACTTTATTTGGTAAAGTTTGTGTGGCTCTATATCACTCTTACTTTATTCTTACTTTATCAATTCAATATCAACCACATAAACCACTTTTTATAGATTTGTGTCATTGTGTGTCACTCTCTCTTAGTCTCTTGTCCCATTGTTAGTGGGATGGAGGGAGTATGATTTAAGCGAAATCATTTAAGTTTTGTTTAGCCGAGAGAGTCAGATTATATTCAAAGCACTTTGTATTTAAAAATAAGGAAAGAGCAAATAGCACAAACTTATATAATCCACAGTAGTTTTCTACTTATCTTCACCTTGTCAAATAATAACTACATATTGTTTCCCTATGAAAGAAAATTACTGTTTTACCTGTACCTAATCCATAGAAAATGTAATTACACACTGGTTTCAAACAAGATATGTATATAGGAGTAAATCCACCAGTACCTGGAGAACATTCCTCTCAGTTTGATCAAGAGGTGAATTTGTAGGTATAGTTGATTTGCAATTTGTTTGACCCGGGAAAATTGGTCCATTGGAGTACAAATCGCATATAATGAGATCACCAAACTCCCCTAAATACAACTCTTCTGACCAATGAATGCTGTTTTCTTTGTCACTAATGGAGCAAAATTCCATTATAAGTACCCGCTGCATGTCATATAAAATACTCCGTATAATGCAAACAGATTGGGAAAAAAGGCAAAGCAAAGTGTCACGTAATTGAGGGCTAGATTTGACAGGTACCTTTAAATTCATTTCACATTTTAACATGTGAACCAGCTCTTCTGCCAGTTGCTCTGAAAATTATTTAAATTGTCAGTTTGTGTGCTGTGTACAATCAAGAACTATCTCTTTGAATATACAGTAAATATTTTGCTTGTGTGATGTATATTTACACACACAATTGATGTGTAAGATAGGCATTTATTGTAATACAAAAAGTTGTCCTCATTATCTTTCATTCAATTGCAAAAGTCAAATTTCTTATTCTAAAAAACAACATTAATGATTAAAAACTGATTGTGTGTGTGTGTGTGTGTGTGTGTGTGTGTGTGTGTGTGTGTATATATATACACTCCGTATTATAGACTTCAAATTTTATATTTTCAATAAGTATATATCCAGATCAAGAAAAAGAGATGCATACCAAAAGAAGATATTGACCAAAAGGAGAATACAGGAACTCCACTACTGTCAATCTGATGAGAATCATCAGCATCAGGGTTGCAAGAAAACTGTACAATTGGGCTGTCACCCGTACCTTTGACATAACACCTCATAGATCTAGAAGCCTTTACCATCTGAGTTACAATGCCGACCTACATAAATAAAATAACTTACAATTCAACTATTCAAGAACATAATTGTTCTTGCAATTAAACATAATAACCCAAATTTTCAGAAAAGGATGTCAAATTTAATAAAACTACTTTGATACAGGTAATGGAAAAACCTCCTTTGACCTGTATGGCCTCCTCCAGATATTTAATCATTCTTAACTCTGAAAAATTGAATGTGTTTCAAATCTAAAAGTTTAATTCTTTTTAGTTTCTTCTTCAGAATAAATGGTTTTCACCTCCAAACGACTAGTGTTTAGGATCTCAAGGACTCCTAAGCTACTGATAAAGCAATAGTTTATATTCACTAGATTCTAAAAGTTTAATTCTTTTTAGTTTCTTCTTCAGAATAAATGGTTTTCACCTCCAAACGACTAGGGTTTAGGATCTAGAGGAATCCTAAGCTACTGATAAAGAAATAGTTTATTTTCACTAGATTCTGGCAAATCAGCATTCTTTGCATCAAACAGCATAAAAAGGGCAGCCCAGTGCACATGGGCGTCCTTGCGGTGGTTCATCAAATAGCATAAGAAAAAAAATCAATAGCAACAGCTCTAACTGTTAAAAAAGCCAAATCAACGTTGGTAGGCTATCAGATTTATTGAAAAAACAGCCATAAAGTTTACCATTTCTGCATACATACCATACTTTTGTATGTCAACAAGAGCTGACCCCTATTGATCACCTAAAGAGTAGAAATAGAAAGAAATATTTGAGTAAAATAAAAATACAAAATAAAACAATTTAGTTGAAACAGATTTATAGATTCTACTTATGTGTGCCCAATTCATAAACACCTGCTGCTTGTGTAACTTGTGGCATGCTTTCTTTTGTAATTCTGGCATGTCACTCAAAATTCCAAATTCCATTGCATCCATGTACCTATACAGAAATGGCACTTTACATTTACAATCAATTCCAGAGTTCAGACTCAATATGGACACACATGCTAGCCTGTTCAATATGTACCAGTATTCATATTTTATACAAACTCATTTAGATTATATTTTCATAGACAAAAAATTGAAGTCTAAATAAAGACTAAAACAAATATGTGGAACTGCATTTGATGTGCAATGAACAGAAAAGGTGGGATTTTTATTTCCTCCTATTGTGTTTTTTACCTCTGCGAGAGATAAGAGTTTACTAGAGAAGTGGCGTGGGAGCGAGCAGTAGAGGAGGAAGATAACCAGTCGTTCCATAGAGAAACCAATTTCAACCACTGGTTTTTGAGATTCCTCTGAGCGGCTGGTCTCCACTGACGCAATATTTGGGAGGACAGTGGCGTCACCGGCAGTGGTGCTGGAGATTTTGCGGCTGGGCTTTGGAGGTTGAGGTCCATGGGCTCATTCTTGTATTCCATTCTCAGTCCCCAAAATTATGGAAAAGTAAATTTCTGGCATTATCACCCAATTACACCCCAAACAAACTCTTGCCATTCTAAGCTTTAAGAAACGCTCAGATTAAAAGTTTAACCTGTCATCAAGAGGTTTCTGGTTACCATGCTTGTCTGGAACCCTCTCTTCCATCCATTCCTGCTGGAAAAACTACAATGAAAATATGGGTTTAATGCATAAAATCCCTTTGTGAGATAACATTAATAGGAGTGTTACCCTTCTTTGTTTTGAAAAGTGCATGAAATCCCTTTGTGTTTTAATCAGGGCTGGTCTTCCCTGTGCAACAGAATTTGGGCCTTTTTTTCCAAGTTCCAACACAAGTAAATTGTGTTAAAATATAAGTTATTAATGAACATAATGATAAAAATAAAAGTAGTCATTAATAAAAAAAAAACATTTTATTTAAAAAGAGACATTCTTCGAGCTTTTTTTAGACAAGGTTAACTTGTCAAGTCTTCTTTTCTTTTAACGCTTCTCATGACCAAATGGGTATTTATTTGGAAACATAATTACTACCAATTATTGAATATCTCCTCTAATCCTGTACATGTTTATAAATTTTAAATCAAAATTCAGTTTAAATTTAGGATGAAATCATAAAAGACTATAAGTATAATTATAATTTATGAACCTCAAGTTACCTAAATATAAATATATATATATATATATATCTTACTATATATATAAAATGTGAATGACCGTTACATGGTCCTATTCCTTTAAAACAGTGCTCGACGGAAGCCTCGGTTTAGCGCAGAGAAAACTAACCGTGCCGCTTGCTCCTGTTTGCTCCTGTTCAGCTTCGCGGATGAGCTTTATCTCTTTCGACGCCAGACATAACCCTTTATTTTTCGTTTCTGCGCTCTTCTAATTCAGAGAAGCCGCCAACGTGAGTAACATCACGCAGAGGAAAGTTCGCCGCAGTCCAGACCTCTTATCCTTCCGCAACCCTCTGCATCGGGCAATCAAGTGAGTCTTTCTTCTATAATCTGCTATTTTACCGGACTCTGGTATAATCTGCTTGTGGATGGGCGACCAGACCTCTCATCGTAAGTCTTTCTGAAACCCTAGCTATGATTTCTTCTCCTATTTTGCTTCTCTTTTGTTTCTATTTCATTTCTAGGTAGGGTTCTCGTCTGCTCCATTGCAAGAACATGGTCGTTAGCCATAATAGTGATGGTATGTTCTTTCTTCTTCTCTTGTTCTTTTTGTGAAATTGTGCATTTTGAATTGATAATCAGTGCTTATTAGAGAGAGTGGCACGGTTGTTTATGCATAGAGATATGTTGTTGATTTTTGGGTTACTTTATCTATCTAATTGGATTCAATCTCTTCCATGAGATTTGTTTGAAAAGTAGAAATCTCCTGGGTTTATCTTTCTGGCCTAATTATTTGGTCACACAAAGTAACTTAGGTCCTGTTTGGGCATATTACAAAGGGTAATAGTGGACATACATTTGGAGGTCACTTTTGATTTACTCCTCCATTGAAATATTTCATCTTTAATTTTACGCTTTTAGTATTTGGTTTTCAGCTTTGAAGTGGCAGCATTTCCATAGACTTGGGGTGATTTTTATCTTTAGATAACATGTTGGGTTCTTGTTATTACATAAGCCCTTGAATTAAGAGTTGCTAATGAACTTGATTCGGTATAGATATATCAAACGAAGGAAATGGGATGAACTGTCCCAAGAAGTCCTAATTTTATGCATTACCTTTGAATGGACAATTAAGATTTGTTATTTCCTAAAAGGTTATCCATATATTAAGGTATGTTGGTTCTGTACTTTTCTCCTTCTCCTGTATATCTGAGAGTTGTATTTGCTGTTCATTGATTGTGCAGGCCCTAACTGGATTCTAATCTAAAGCTGCTACCTATTTTACTCAATTTTATTTGGCTGTTTCTTGGATAACCACCGAGCCATGGGTTGCTTTTCTCTTATGTACCGTAACCGTGGCAAGTTTAACTCATCCACCACACATTCATCTTTGTTTGATGAAGGTTAGGATCATAATTGTGTTAACATAATTGACTATTGATAAGCCGGACATTTTGAATTTTGAGTTTTCTAATGACTACGATCATGAACATATCTCTATCGCATAAGAAGTGTGAGCGTCTTCTCCTACAAGGATCTAAGAGTTCCCACCAATAATTTTTGTCCTACAAATAAAATCGGAGAGGGCAGGTTTGGCTCTGTTTATAAGGTAATCAAATGAAAATAGCTTTTACATTTATGTTCCTTACGGTACATGGTCAAGGTGCTCCTCTGTATGTGTTTATTCAAGTATCAGCTATGAGCATAATTTAATTAGCCTCTTTAGTTTGATCAAGCAAGGTTTCACTGCCATTACTTCATCTACCTTATGCATGAGTATATATATATATATATATATATATATATATATATATATACCAATTTCTTAATTCTTAATTGTTAAACATATTTATTATCAATCCAATTAATCATTTAATTTAACTGAAAAAATAAATTAAATGAAAAAAATGCAACCATTCAACCAATAAACAACCTGAAATCAGTTTCAGTAATTCGGAACTAAACAAATCAGAAATCTGAAAATCATAACTGTGCTGAGCCTGAGTTAGTGAGTTGCTTACTGAGTTACCGCCAATACTGCGCAGTTGCGGACCTGCAGTCGTGGAGCGGTGGACAGCCTGCATTCGTGGAGGCGGGGCGCTGTGGTCCAGTGGAGGGATGGCGTTGGTGATGGGTGGCGGCGGTCGTCAGTCAGTCAGGCGAGTCGTCGCCGTCGTCGGTCCTCCTTGAGTCCTTCACTTCGTCACTTCCTCGTTTCCAAGTCTAGCGGACAGAGAGAGCGGAGGTTTCTTGGGCGCGTATAAGGGCTGTTAACGAGCAGAGAGCCCAGAACATCCAAAGCTGGAATTTGGTGTAAGGTTTCGAGCTCTAATCTCGGCTAGACGAGGAATTAGTGGTGTAAGGTTTCGAGCTCTAATCTAGACGAGGAATTAGTGGCGTAAGGTTTCGAGCTCTAATCTAGTGTTTGGTCTCATGGCTGTTCTATGTTCGAATCAATCCCTCCATAAGCTCTATAAATATGTCTAAATTTAAAATTTTAGGTAATGCTCCTTAATAGGCTCGTTAATAGGCCCGTGCTCGAATGATTCGACAAATATTTGGTTTGTTATTAATCATATTTAAATTCATAAAATCATACTAATTATATTTAAATTTTACATATATAAAAATTACATTTATAATTTTAGGGTGTTCGATAGGCTCGAGTCTGAACCAAGCCGAATACTACTATGTTCGAGCTCGGCTCGATTAATTTTTCGAACCTAAAACTCAGCTCAGGTTCGAGTTCGAATGCTCGTTAAGCTCAGCTCGTTAGGTTCAAAACCGAGCTCGAACTCGAATAGTTCGATAAAAGCTCGGTTCGTTAACAACGGGCCGGTTTCGTTTTTTTCAGTCTGGAGCCCAGACCGGGCCAGTTTCGTTTTTTCTTTTCTTTTTTGTGTTTTCTTATTTATTTAAACCCCCACCCCCCATCCCCCAAACCCTTCTGAAACACTCAGCCTAGCCTGGGTCGGGCCGGTCCCACACAGTAGCGGGCCGGGCCGGTTCCCGGGCCGTTCGGTCTGAAGCGGGTCCATGACTAGGCGCGTTAGGAGTTAGGACGTGGGCTGGACCGCTGGAGTATATTACTACTTACTTTTTATGGAAAAAAGAAAAAATAAGTGTATAATAAGAAATTTGGAACATTAGCCCTCTGTGATTTTTAAAAGCATCAAACCCTTTGTTTTTTAATTAATTATGCGCAAAATGACTTCTATGAACAAATTCAATTGTCAACAAATTTAACTTTTGTATGATTTATATATTTTGACATATTTACTTGCATATTCATTCAAAATATTTGTGATGGATAGTGTACCCGGGGGTAGCTTATCCGACGGTTATTGCGGGGAATAACCTAGAGAGAAGTCAGAGTAATAAAGTAAGAGAGAGAGAGAGTCAGATATGTTAATGAATTATGAGTCTGGGATCGTTTACAAGGGAAAAAGGGCTGCTATTTATAGTAGTCATAAATGCGATATGAATACACGTGTCAATTATCTAATGGGCGAGGGTCACCTCAATCGGGGTGGCACCGACATATGCATGTGCACCGCATTAAATGCGGTGGTTGGATGTGACGCCGCATTAAACGCGGTGGTTGCCTGTCCCCAAAGGGAATCTTCGCCGATTGTGCTGTAGCCGAAGGCTCCTCTGTGGCCGAAGGCTCTGTGTAGTCAAAGGCTACACATGCGCTGCAGGCGTTTAGGAGCCGAAGGCTCCTATTTTCTGTCTTTCTCTCCCAGTAACTTTGTATGCCCGAATCTGGCTGCCTTGTGGAAACTGGAGCCCTCGGCTATATGGCCGAAGGCACCTATATGTGTGTCGTGGGCCTCTTCATACTTGGGCCGCCATATTAGGGCTTTGTGTGCACATTGGGCTTGATGGGCCTATGTAGGAGAAACATAAGTCTATGGGTCGGGGGCCCTGGGCCATATACTCTATCAGAAGTCCCCCACTCCTTTTGCCGAAAGGTACTTGAGGGAAAAGGAGTAATTGCTTTGATGTGTTTGTTCTGCCGAAGGCTTTCGTTTGTGGGAGATTCCTTCCATTGATCACCCGTTGTTGAGGTATTTGCCGAGGGCATTCCCTTAGTCCCTTATATGTCGAGGGCTGAGGGTTTTCTGAGAGGAAGTTCCAATGAGTTGCCTGCATGTGTCATGATGAAGGCTGCTTTTATCATCATTAGTACATTCGTTGATGCTTTGTAGGAGACTTTTCACTCTTATGTATTTCTCGAAGGGTATGTGTGGCAAGATGTATCCGGGGGGTTGGGTTTACTTTTTTGTATGTGTGAATTTTCGTTCAGTGTTGTCCCGAGGGGTACTCCCAGTCCCCCACTCCTTTAGACTGAAGGCGAGTTCGGGCTGAAGGAGTTATGATGCGATGTATTGGTGTACATTCCAGTGCCTAGGGACCTCAGTTCCATTGGGGCGTTTTAATTTATATGTTCCAGGCTTGATGAAGGTTGCGACGATGTGTGGTCCTTCAAACTTTGGTGTCATCTTGCCGCCTTCAGTGGGTTGGCTAGCCTCCCTCCTTCGGAGGACGTAGTCCCCCACTTGAAATTCTCGGGAGCGGACTTTGACGTCGATGTAGCCTTTGATTTTTCGTCGGTAGTTTTCCGCCCTTAGGAAGGCTTGTTCTCGACGTTCTGAGATGAGATGAAGGTCGAGGGGCATGTTGGTGTCATTGACCTCGGGTTCGTATTGATCCACCCTTCGAGTGGGGAGAGTTACCTCAGTAGGAGCTTTTGCTTCGAATCCATAGCACAGGGAGAAGGGTGTCTCGCCTATTGCACGCCTAGGGGTGATTCGGTAGGCCCATAGTATGTTGTGAAGCTCTTCTACCCAGCCTCCCCCTTCGGCTTCTAACTTCTTCTTTAACCCTTCAAGCAAAGTCTGGTTGGCGTTCTCCACTTGACCATTGCCTTGAGGGTAGGCAACCGAAGAAAAAGTGTGTTTGATGCCCCATGCCTCTGGGAGGGCACAGAAGGGGGCTGCCTCAAACTGCGTTCCATTGTCGGAGATGATCTGTTGGGGAACGCCAAACCTTGTGAGGATGTTTTTGAGGACAAAATGACAGCATCTGGCCTCGGTGATACTGGCGAGGGGCTCGGCTTCAACCCATTTGGTGAAGTAGTTGATGACCACAATGATGTACCTGTTGTTGGAGGTACCCCTCGGCAGAGGGCCTATTAAGTCAATGCCCCACCTGGAGAAGGGGATCACCGTGCTGATGGGGGCGTAATTAACTGCTGGCCTTCCGGGGGCCTTCTGGAAATGTTGGCATGCGGTGCACCTTCGGGCGAGGTTTGCGCAATCCCGGGCCATTGTAGGTGTAACGCCCGTCCCCAAATGGCCATTGTAGGTGCAACGACCGTCCCCAAACGGCCATTACAATACTCAACATAAACAAGACTCAATATACAAAGCGGAGAATAAAGATATAAAGTCTTGTCATGAAAATTTATTTCTTATATACATAAGCAAACTTTATAACGAAAATGTCAAGCGACGAACAACAACACCCTTAAAAACAAGTTTATCACACATGATCAGGATTTTTAAAACAAAACATCAAACAACCCATAAAAGTATCATAGTACAAAAATAAAACATGAGACACAACCAGGTCTTCTCCGTTAACCCATCCATGGCCTCGCCACCCGCCCTGGACATTCTCTCAGGCTTCCATTCTTCATTCATTACCTATACATGAGAACACGAGAAAATAGAAATCTCGTAAACGAAATTTGCTTAGTAAGTCACCATTTCATCCACTAAAATGACGGAGTCTTAGCTAGCCATAAATAGATACATCAGCTAGAATACTCAATTCACATAACATATTCACATACAAACTCATATCATACATAACACAACTTCAGGTAACAAAACCTAAGAGATTTCCTTATTCATCATTCTTTCTTCTTATCTTATTCCTTGACTTTATGGCCCCGTAGCTCGTGTCTTGGCCCCTCGCTGATGACCTCGGGTAGCTAGCCCTTAACCATCAGAAGCAACCCCAGGACTCCTCGCGGAAGGAGGTCCCGCTACGCTCAGCTCAGGTAGTTACTTGGGGGCACGACTGCCTTGTAACATTACTTATCTTTCATTTCATATAATTATCAACATAACTTCCTTTCATCGTTGGTTCTATATGAACCCAATTACAATCAAAATAAGCATGAATACCTTGCCTTTACTATTCCAATATTTTACCATTAACTCCACCTGTCAATGCCTTCATATCATTTGGAATTCACATAACATCATGTCATACATGTTTAAGTATCAAAGCAAATAGTCCACATATCATCATATCATGTAACTTCAAGTATTCAAGCAAACATATCCAACTAATAATTAGCTAGACTTTCATGCTTTATTTAGAACTATAGGAAGCAGGGACGAGCTGCGCCGGAGTGATACGCAAATCCCTAAAGAATTCCAAATGGAATGGGTGCAGAGGGAAGAAAAGGCCGGGTATCACCGAATCCAGATGGACCACCACGAAGCCGGGAAAGTGGCGCATGGGGTGACGAAGATGACGATATATTGTCGTATACCCTGGGTGGATAAAAAAATTGGCCGGTCATCCGCCTATCGGCATTGAGCAAGTGCTGGCGCTGACGGCGGATGCCGTAAAAATTGAGGGAATATCGGGGGGGGGGGGGGGGGCGAGGTGGCATGCCCCGTTCGTAAAACTCTAGGTACCCCAGAAGCACACCCGTCATCCCACCGATCTTCGGCGGAGGGCGAGCTGCCTTGGGCACTTGGGTTTATAGAATGAGACTCTGGTCTAAAAGAAAACATGAAAATGGACGGTACTATTGAGTGTTGATATTATAATTTGTTGATTTTGTTAGATAAAAATTTAAATCATACTTAAATTTATAAATTTAATTACTTTGAATGTGTAATAAAAATAATTGAATTTGAATAGGATAAGAAAAAAGAAAAGAAGATTAGAGAAAGTAGACTACTATACACATCATTTTTAATGAACAATAAAAGTAAAAGGATGAACAGTAAAGTAAGGTTCTTTAATCTTTCTACCACACTTTCTTAATCTTTGTATCCAAAAGAAACAAGACCATCAAATTGGTACGGATGGAGTGTAAAGTAAGAGTTTGTTTGCAACAGCTTCTGCTTTAAAAAAAGTGCTTTTTTTAATGAAATGGGGAGAAGTGATTAAATAAAAGTTGATAGTGTTTGAGAAAAAAGTGATTTTGAAAAGTAAAAGTTGGTAGTGTTTGGTAAAATAAGTGTTTTTTGTGTAATAGAAAAAGTAAAGCACTTTTGACACAAAAGCCGAGAAAAATAAAAGTTGTAGTGTTTGGTAAAAGAAGTGCTTTTTTAAAACCAGAGAAAAATTAAAGCTGAGAAGTGCTTTTTTTAAAGCGTTTGCAAACCAATCCTTAATTGATTCTC